ATTGGCAATTCAGCGGCGTTCAAGTAATTAACAAATAAAATGTATGTAAATGCCAAGTTTTTTACATAATTCATATGTTTAAGTTAAAATTTTTCCCACTCCCCGTGGCTTATGTAGCAAAAATATTTCAGATATTTAAAAAATTATTTTTAATTATTTACATTTCTCGAAACATCTTTCACAATTACTCGAGAGAAATATTTTTAAATGGATTCACGAAAACGAGTCCTACAACTTTTGCATATTTCACAATTGTTATATTCGCCTTTCTACATTTGTGTTATAGAAGATACAGTGATCCTTTAATGTATGTATAAGTTACGACATTCTACTAGATTGTAAATATTTTATTTCTTCCTGATAAAAATGTGAGTCTGCGGTACCAAGTCTCCGAAGATTTCGACTATTTGCGTCGTATATTTATATCGCAGCCACATTTTTAACAGATATTTCTACAACTTGAAAATATCTCTTGTATCAAAAAGACATTTCGCATCGCATTTAATCCTACGATCTTCTCACATGACATGGTACATTGCTGTATGTCACATTAGCTTCACCAGAGCGCGGAATTTGCCGGTGTAAAGACAGTTCATTTTCTAAAGAATTTATATCTAAAATATATATAGAAAAATATTCAATATTCTTCTTCAATTCCAGATATAACATAATAAAATATAAAACATGTGATATTATTTATAGAACAAAATTGCAAAAAAAAATTAAAAGTATGTGTAATATTTACGCATGATACTTTATATGTTCTATTTATATTTAAGAAATATAAAAAATAATTAATTATAATGTAATTTTTAATCTTTTTCGATAATTAATATGCTTTATATGAACGATAAAATAAACTCATTGTATGCTTTATATGACTTTATATGTTTTATATTAATTTTATTTTATATTTCATGTAATTCTTATAAACTCTAAATATAATTTTTACCATAAAAAGTGCTTATATTCATAATTTCGAAACGATTCAGCGTTTCGCTAAGAAAAAGAAGCGATAAAGAGATGAACGTATGAGAAACAAACCGGCTCAGTTGTTGCATTCGTTAGGTAACGGCTATCTTCGAGCCTTTTTATTTTTTGAGTATTCGCAATCGGAATCGAAAGGTCGGAGCTGTGCAATGACAACCGGTAGAATCGTGAATCTTTTCTGTAAGAAACGATACTTCTTTTCGCTTCCGGTTTTCCTCAGGGACGCATTCGTCGATTCTCCTTTCCTTGGAGGAATTTTTCTTCATCGTAAAATGCGACAGTCGACAAATTTTATGGCGATCGCGCGTGATAAACGTACAATTTATGCAGTTGTGCAACGAGAAAAATAAACTCGTGCGAAAATTCATGTGTGTGTATATGTATATTATTGAATAGTATTAATTTTTTTTACATGTAAAACTTCTATGATATTATGATGTATAATTTGATAAAAATTGCGATAATATTTTTTAATTATAATTTTCACGAACTAAAAAAAAAAGAATTACTGATATATATATATATATATATATATATATATATATATATGTATATATATATAAAAGAAGACAATAATGCTCTAAATTTTAAATCATTTATACTTTATTCGTGATTTATGTTGCGATATTCGCGTGATGCTCTGAGAATTTATAAGATATCGTATTTTCGAGACTGATCTTTTTTGCTCAATTCTAAGTTGTTGCGATTGAAAATATATGACAGAAAGTTACGGTTATGGGTTTCCTGGGATATTTAGATGCGTCCATTTCTCGATCGATCGCGGACAGATTATTCATTGAGCGTTCCTGATTCGAGGCCGCGCGAATCGAGTATACTATTGCGCAATCGTAATGCTGAAACTTGTTCTATCGTAATTATTAATCAATATGCCCAGTGACGAGAAATTTTCATATTCATGAACTTCGATTATAACATTATGCGTCTACTGTTAATGTATCTACGATTCCGTCCGATTGGTTAGCACGGCCGATTCAACCCTTTTGGCTTTACACGATGTCGATCAACATTACATCTATTATATTTCGCGCATGTCAATTCATCCATAAAATTGATAAACGATATATATGTAAATTTTTATTTTTGATTAAAAATGAATTGTGAAAATGTTTTTATACGAAATATCGTTCGATATTATTTTTGCTATAAATATTTTAAGTACATACATGAATGCAACAATTGCAGCAAGGAAAATACAAAATCGTTGCGTTAAAAATTACATGCATTTGCATGTATTTATATTAATTTATTAAATATAATGTCGCAATTAATATTTTAAATTTATATTTTGAATATTGTTTTGCGCAAAGATCAAAGGCATTATTTTAAAATATTGATATTTCAATTATGGAAATGTTGAATACAGAAAATAGAAATAAGACCAACTTATAAAAAAAAATAGTATATCGTAATTGTAATTCAAATAAACTATTTTCTCTTGATACTTGAATTTTCGGCTAATGATTAGTACACACATAAATTAATGACCCTTTCATTTTAATTGTATATAAATTATATATATTTTATTAAAATAATTTAATCATAAATATCAGTCTATGATTAAATACAATCTCTCCATCGATATTACTTCTAATAATTTAAAACTATTTATTATCAAAAGAATAAAAATACTAAAACTCAATATAGCTAGTCAAGACTTGCGTTAAAACAATATAATTTTTATTTAATGAAAAGAATATTAATTTCGCCAGAATAAATCATTATAAAAGAGTCTGCTAACTAAATTACTTCAGATACATAGTTAGATAGCGAACTTATTTAAAGTAATATAAGCAATTGAAGTAACATAAGAGGACAGTGACCACTGTTAAAAAGTTTCCAGAGAAATCGATTAAGCCATCGACAATCGATCGATGTCATAAATTTCGCAGGCATTCCTATAAAAATCAGAAGGGAATAGAGACAGCATGAAAATAGCAGGAAGAGAGAGAGAAAGAGAGAGAAATAAAGAAATGCTTCTTTTATCGTTTTCATATTTTTCCATAACATGTTGCCTCTTTCCCTTATTTCATCTTGTGGTTTGCAAAATTTAAGGTAGATCATGTAGGAAATTTTATTTATTTTCATATAGGAAATATTATTTTGCAATTTTTATATATCCTTCTTTTTTATCTAAGTAAAAAAGAAGGATATATAAAAATTGCAAAATAATATTTCACGATTATTATTTACAAGAATATCGATCTTATAATGTGCAACTCTATTATTAAAAACTCATGATGTATGGTTACTGATGTACATGTGTTTAATAAAGAAAAATGAGAAGAATTAATATTTACAATATATTAAGTTACAATAAAAAAATCTATTTTAACATTTCAAATACCTATGGTAATCATTCTTTTTTATTCAAAGTCATTAATTAGCATACCGTTTTTGGTTAGAGCTAGAATAAATTTATCTCGGACTGGTTTACCCTCGTAAACCAGTATTTTATAATAGTCATTTTATGATATTGAAAACCGATTTCTAAATTAGTATTTTGTTAAATCAGTTAAACTTGACGGGCAGCATCAAAAAAACTATCGTTGGACGATTCTCGAATGTTTCTTAATTATTTCCTTTTACAGAATTCCATGTATCATTACAAAAAAATGCCAAATATTTTTATTCATGTTTTTCAACGTAGAAAAAAATGTTTGATGATCACGTTACGATATAAATCTGCGGCGCGTCCTCGTGTAATTTAAATAAAATATTTTCCTGAAGACGTGTGTCATAAATATAAAGCACTCTACGAAAAATCGGCACAATGTATTCAAAAGGAAGTACATCTTCCTCAAGAAAATTCTAAAGATGAAAATCTAAAGTTATGAAACTCTCCATTCCGAATTATTTCACGCCATAAAGATTTTTATTGTGCTATGAAACGGTTTACATTGGATTGTAAAATAAGGAAATATGCTACTGTGACTTTTAAAAACATTAATTATGTTTCGAGATGAATTTATAAAATAGATACTGTGTCGGTTTCTATCAATTGACAATTAGACATTTTGCAAATTTTTGTTTATAATCGCCACATCATTTTTTGTTATGAACGTGAAAAAAAGTTTACAGTTTGTCACAAGTTAACTCGATTTTGGTAGTAATATTTTCTGCCATATATTATATTTTACATCGTTGTATCGATTGTCTCATCGATAAAATTGTCTCACGAATAAATACTTGCGAAATATAGTATTAATAAATATTTTAAAAATAATGTTAATAAATAACGACTTCCCGAATCCTTGTTATGTACAAGAATCGACTAATTTATATGCCACCGGATCTCACAAATGATCATTATTAAAACGACGAACATCTTGAATGTATCGTGTACCGGCACGATATATAAATACCACTTTTTCAATGCGGCCAAAAAACGATTAAAATCAAAGGTATGTAAATTAGATATGTAATTAAAGATGTCGTAGAATAGCAGAGTATAAAAATACATATATAGAGAGAATTCAGCATTTAAATTTCAATACATTATTTAATTATAAAATAAATAAACATTACATAATTACATATTATATAAAAACATTATATAATTGCGTAAAAAAGATTCTATATATACGCAAGTAAGAAAGAAGTAAAACACTAATAAAGAAAATTAATAAAGAAAAATTTTTTTAACAACGACAAATTTAAAATGAATATTAAATTATCTTCAATACTCTTAAATACATTGCAAATTTTATTAGATCTTTTGTTGCAGATTCGTCATTCGTTTCGATGCATCGATTGTGCTCTCGCCCATTTCTCGTTTTCTGTCGCATCAGGTAAAAGCTGAGATTATAAAAGTCCTTTATAAAAAAAATGACAGATAAACGGGGATCGTTATACTGACTGATATAAACGATTACATGTATTACAGTCGCGTAATAATGCGGAATCGAACTCGTTTTGGGAGCAAGTTTGCCGTAGCTCTTGCCGTTACGTCAGATCGGAGAATCGGATGGACCAAGCGAAACTGGCTACAGAAAAATAATTGGGAGGTGCGCGGTTCGCGGAGCAGGGTGTGTCCCTCGTTTCAGTGAAAGTAATCGCATACATCGCGAAGCGGACATTTCCTATAAAAACACCGACCCACCGCATTAAGGCACACTCGACCCGAAACTATCATCAGGTACAATGAAGAGCTTCGCGGTAAGTATCGACAAGGGTATTCCATACACGCCAATACATAAAAACAATTATCATTAATTGGTACATATCTTTAACGATATTTTCATTATCATCATTCGGATGTGTCGAAATTATTTAAAAAATTTAATTTCCTTTATTCTTATAAATAAAAACGAGTTGCAGTTATTGTATCATTGTTATAATTGTACCAAGAATTATAGAAATAGAATTGCTTATGATTATGTTTTATTATATACATACATACAATTAAAAATTAATGACAGTGTAAAGTCTATCAACTTTAATTAAAAGCTAGTTATTGCTATTTGATTTTATTTTTAATAACATCTCATCACAAAAACTATTTTAAAATGATACTTTCAGAACTATATTTAGAATTTATTTTGTTCCAAAAATATATAGATAATATTGTTGGCGACTGCCGCGTTGGCAGTTTCCATAGAAGATCCGAAGAAACAAGACAAGAAATATGACAAGCGAAGTCTGTCAGGTGATCTCGGTATTTCGAGTTACGGCTTAGGTCTTTCTGGATATTCAGCTGGACTCGGCTCAAGTGTACTCGGGTCGGGACTGTCCGGAGTCACCGTAGGTAACAGTCTGGCCTCCGCCTATGCATCTGGACTAGGATATGGATCTGGATCTGGACTAGGCTATGCATCTGGACTAGGATATGGATCTGGATCTGGACTAGGATATGCATCTGGATATGGATCTGGACTAGGATATGCATCTGGATATGGATCTGGACTAGGATATTCATCTGGATATGGATCTGGATCTGGATTAGGATATGTATCTGGATACGGATCTGGATCTGGACTAGGATATGCATCTGGATATGGATCTGGATCTGGACTAGGATATGCATCTGGATATGCATCTGGATTAGGAGGATACAGCTCTGGATTAGGATATGGATCTTTCGGCGATTCCGGCGTCGCCGTCGGCAGTGGTTCCTTTAATAGTCTGAATGTGCTACCGAGTGTCGCACATACCAAGACTCAGCGCATCACCGGCGTCACCGTTCATCGTGAGATCCAAGTGCCGGTTCCGGTGCCACAACCGGTCCCTGTCGAAGTTACCAAGCACGTACCCGTTCCGCAACCCGTGCCCGTCAAAGTCGATCGTCCGTATCCAGTTGAAGTACCACAACCAGTACCTGTCGAAGTCACCCGTCACGTGCCCGTAAAAGTTGACCGACCCTACGCGGTCCCGGTGCCGCAGCCCATCCCGATCCGTGTGCCGCAACCAGTGCCAGTCACAGTGGCACAGCCAGTACCCGTTCCTGTCTCTGTCACGAAACACGTGCCGGTGTCCGTGCCATCTGTTAGCGTCGTACCGTCGACTTTCAGCGTCGCGCCGTCGACTTTCAGCGTCGCGCCGTCCACTGTCGGCGTCGTGCCGTCATCGATCGCTGGCGTCTTCTCATCCGGGCTCTCATCCGGGCTTGCATCCGGATTCTCATCCGGGCTTGCATCCGGATTCTCATCCGGGCAAGAATATGCCGATCTGGGATCCAGCCACTTGGGATCTATCTCGGGTGCGACTCTTAACTCCGGTTTAGAGAGCGGCGTTGTCTCCGGCAGTGTCCTTAGCAGCGATTTCGGATCCAGCTTTGGATCCAGCTTCGGGTCCGCCAACTCTGTGTTGGCACCGTCTCACAATTTCGCATCCGCAATACCAATCAAATCAACCATTGTAAAAAATTGGTAAATTTAAGTCAATAATCTGATTAAACTTGATGTATTTTTAAGGCGTCTCTTGAGTGCAGTTTATGAATTGAACGTGCAGAATACCGATTGTATCATACATGTTGAATAAATTTATATTTTTCTACCCTATAATATCTTCGTAGGATCATTATTTGATTGTATAATTGATTAGCCGTTATATAATTATGCTACAACACTACTTTTGAACGCCTAATATTCTCTGTTTTACATGTTTTCTTGTTAAATAATAATTATTTATAATTACTTCTTGCATTTGGTGACATTCCTCTAATTCTATCTTATATTTTTGAAAAGAAAGAGAATTACTATCGGTATTTTTCTAGTCTTATAATTTAGACATGCCTTTATAAATTTTATGAACAAAATAAAGAGATTAAAAAAAGAATATCTGGAAAATTTCCTATCCATTAAAAAAAAAAAATAAAAATGCAATATTGAATAATCTCAGGGGCACAATCATATAGCAGTGCAAAATACGCGATAAAAATCCGTGCAATGTATCGATATTAAAATTCCAATAGATTCAACAATGTAATTTCATTATTCCCTGCGAAATAATGTTCATCTTTCTTAAATAAATCATTTATATCTATTGTTTGTTTGTAAAGTTTAATAAAGGAAAAAATACAATATTTGTTCATTAAAAATCCCCTAAATTGCGGATTTAATTGACTAATATATTAAAATAAAAAATGTAAGTTAAATCTTATCGCTGATATTTTCGTTATCATCTATATTCTCGCTAAAAAATCAAAGTGAAACTGTTTTTGCAAATATATACAATAGATACAATAAAATTGATGATTGACAGAGACTCATGCAAAGAGATAAGGAGCATAACTATTAAGAATTATCAAAATCCTGATGCATATTTTCAAAATGATACACATAATAAATAATTCTTAAAAGATATTACAGTTATAAAAAAAGAGAGACGAGATTATGTAAATAAGTGTTAAAACTCAGATTTGTATAATAAAATAATGAATTATTGATATATTGATTTATTGATTATTGCAATATTGAAATATTGATTTTTCCTTATTTCAGGAAAGAGTTTAAAATTATTTTCAACATTTATTAAATGTCATTCATTATATTGTGAATCGATATTTTTATGTTAAACATTACGACTAAAATTTATGTAGATTCTTCGCTTTATCGGTGACAAGAAAGCTTTTTATCAACAACATTATGTCGGTACGATAGATGTCTAACAAAGTTACCAGTGTGTGTGTCTATCGCACAGTGTACCGACAGTTACAGTTTCTTATCAACTGTAACTATACATGTAAAAGAGTGTACACCTAGTACATTTATTCAACATAGATAATAGTTCGACGCAAAAATAAAATATTTATGATAATATCTGAATTAGGTAATATTTTGAATTATATCAATAATATTATCTACAAATAATTAATAGAAGGCTTCAAAAATCTTGCTAAAACTTTCTCGTCAATCGATAATATTAAAAAATTATTCTCATCTTGTTCCCATATTTTGATATGAAACAAAAATATTAATAGAATAATTTTTTAATCATTTTTATTATTCACAAGAGACAGTAAATGTTTGCTCTATCAATAATAATTATTCGTTTCTATTAATGATATAAAGAGTTGGTCAAGAGAATCTTACATGAAATTTATTATTATTATATGTATCTCAAATGATATTTATTCATCTAATACAATAAGAAAAACGAGTTAACGAAAGTCTAAAACAGAGCACGAATAAATCAAAATCTTCATAAAAAAACTTTAATTAAATATTTCGATTTCCTTTCGAATCATCCTCAGTATTTTTAATAATAACAAAATACCATACATAGAAATAATATTAAGAAAAGTAACGCATATAGACATGACAAAATAAAAATTGTGTATTCGATCTCCAAGCAGTCCAAATAAAAAGCAGATAAGATAAATCTTCTAAGCGATTGCGTTAAGAAACTTCACTGTTACAATCGCATACGATGTTGCAAAAATGCCATCATGCATAAAACTAAAGAAATCCTGTATTTATAAAAATTATCATGACAGAAAGAAAAAAAAAGAAAGAGATCTACAAAGAAAGAGACGCAAAGAGAACACTGACAATAATATATCCTAATGAATATTACTAAAATGATATAGATAATAAATAATTCTTAAGAAGTTGCTAGAGTTATAAGAGAAAAAGGAGAAGATCGCAAATAAGTAAAATGCGATAATTTTAAAATTTAAATTATATTATATGATCGGCGTATACATGTCATAAAGTTATCAATATCATTTTGGAAGTTAAAATTGTTTCTTTTTATCTCAATTAATATTTCAGACAATAACCTCTTCTTCAAGATCTTCATATCAAAAAATAAGGTATTGATTAATATTTTCTTCTTGTTTTAGATAAGAATTTAAGTTTTAAATAAAGAAATTTGTTTTAGATAAGAATTTAGTTTTAACATTTATTAAATGCCATTTATCATAAGTCAATATTTTTATTTTAAATATTATGATTAAAAATTATACATATTCATCGCTCTGTAGTTGATAAGGAACGCTTCTGCTCTCCTTATCAATAGCATTATGTCGGTACGATAGATACCTGACAAAATTACCTGTGTGTGTGTCGCGTAATACCGACAGTTGCAGTCTCTTATCAGCTGTAGTGATTCTATATCATAGACATATATGAATAAACGGAGAATGCCCTTGCTGAACACGTTCCTGGGCAAGTAATGAGACTGACAGAAATAAGAAATATACAAGCATTCTTTCTCTCTTTTTGCGCAAATTGTTAGTTTCATGGTAATAGGTGTAGTAATTCACTTTTCTTTTTAAAAAGAAAGTTTCGAAAATGTGTAAAATTATACGTATTAATTTTAAAAAGCAACATGTACATATGAATTTCTCTTTCATAAGTATTCATTTTACTCTATCAAATTTACATATAACAATATAACTGCTTTCAGAATCTATCAACCTCGAAGTCAAATTTTTATTTCACAATTCTAAAGATTTGCAAATATACATACGTTTTTAAAAATAAATTTAATTTATATATAAATTTAATTTATTATATTCTTTTATATAATTCTATAAATTTACAGCAATATAATAAATTAAATTTATTATATTACTGTAAATTTATAGAATTATATTATAAAAATAATTAGTCATGAAATTGATGTTTAATTTAAATATAGAAAAAGAATTAACTATGTTAAACTCATTATTTCAATATTGTTTTGTATATGTATCACTTCATCATACAAAACTTTTATAATATAAAATCTTCTATAATATTCCGGATATTCTATTCTGTTATATTATCAGCTATACTAGATACACAGATGTTATACTGTCGATAGATTGACATTAGATATAAAAATTGATTTTGAACAATATAATATAAGAATAAATACATACAAAGATATGTATTCAAAGAAATTTAATTTATTTCGTTTATTTCAATTATTAATTTAATCAAAATAAAATTTATTTAATTAATAATTACTTCGTATGAAAAATAAAGAATTTAAAATAAAAATTATATTTAAATTATATTTATATTTATCTAAGTTATATTTTCATTAATTACAGTTTAAATTTCTTCCAACATTAAAATATAAAACTTACAACTACATAAATACATATTATATATAATAATTATTATAATACTTTAATTTCTTTCTCAATACAGTTCATGTTCAGATTTGATAAAAACAATTTATTTTAAAAAATTTTCTCTTTAGAAAATAATCTATAATAAAGAAAAATGTATTTTTATAAAAATTATTATATTTTATTTTATCAATATTGAAATAACGAGTTTAAAATGTAGTTAATTCTTTTAATTTAAATTTAATATCAATTTTATAATTGTATATAAAATAATAAAATAATGAAAAATATATAAAGCTTTGCAAAATTATGTTTCATATGCTCTCAAGCAAAGTAAAACATGTTTTTTATATATAATGTATGTATATGATAATATATACATTTCAAAACAGTGCATGCGCGAAGAGAGAGAGAACGCCCGAATCTTCTAGAGTTTCACCCAATAAGAAGCTTCAACGAAGCAGCCATACGATATTGCAAGAATGCGATCATGCATAAAACTAAAGGAACCATATGTTCATAGACAAAATTGCTACAAAAAAATGAAAGAAAAACAAGAAGATTTATCGAAAAAGACAAAAAATGCAAAAAAATGGAAAGCATAACTGTTAACAAAATGACCTGAATGTACCCCAAAATGATATAGATAATAAATAACTCTTAAGATATTACATAAAAGAAGAGAGCGGAGCTAACATAAATAAATGCAGTGATTTTAAAATTTATATATGTCATTTAAACTGTTAATATTACTCTAAAAGTTGGGACTACTTTTTTATCAGGCGATATATAATATTTTAAACAACCTCTAATTTGATCTCTTTCTCAAGGCGGACTCATCATCCAGCAAGATCACTACAAAAAGATAAATTAGAGTTGTCTTTCCTTTCTGAAATATTAATTTCTGTTAAAAAAGTTGTCATAGATAAATTATATATATATATATATATATATATATATATATAGTGTTATAAATATTAGTAAATCTGTCTAATAAAAATATGGAAAACAAATGCAATATATTGACAGATTGTCAGTCTAGTTTACTTTGTAGTACAATTTATATCTTGTTTGCGTATATTGCTTTATTCGTTCTGGCATGATAAATTTGATCCGATCATTTGAGTAAACGATCGGTTTTCGCACAAAGTTGCGTATAAAAACGCACAATTTTTTTCATCTACAGGAAAGCTATCGAAAAAAAATACAACCCAACCGCTAGTGCATACACTAGATGAAAAAATATATTCGTACACTTCATCTTTTTTGAGAAAAAGAAATTTTGGAAAATGGAAAATGAAAATATTATGTCGTAAAATATTTATATTACATTATTTTGTTTACATTTGCATTAATATAGGATCGAATATAGCACTTTGTTGCAAAGTTATCCTAAAAACAATAAGATATACAAATATATATATATTTTACCTATGCTAAATTATTTCAAATTCTGTTCTAAAACAACTCCTGCCGAATCGCTTCATCAAGATTTTATAA